CCAGGTGCTTGGTCCTGATGTAAAAGAAGTGCTCGAAAGGGCGAGGGTCAACCTCGTCATCCAAGCTCATGACCAGGCCCCTCGACCCACGAGGGCACGCCCGAATCATGGTGCCGCGGACTCTCTGGGGAGCGTAGAGACTCAGCACATGCTGCAGTGTGACCTCCCTACGGGCCAATTCCGTGTACTTGATGAACATCGCCAACAATTTGTAGAGGGAAGGAGTGAGCTGACCCGGGCACACCCCGTAATAACGGCAGAAATCCACCACCAGCATTGGGAGCGGGATCTTGAACCCCAACCTGAAAGGGTAGGCGTAAAAAACGCAATATCCCTTGCGGTCGGTGTGGACCCTCTCCTCGCTTCTAGCAAGAACGATGTCTGCATGGGTAGGAACGACCCCCTGTTCCCGCAATCGGGCCATCCCGATCTCCCCTATCAACGGGGCTTCATCCACCGGTTCCTCTCCACCATCAACGGTGAAATCAATCGCCAGACCTCCGGGCCGAGGAACCACCTCGTCAACCGACGGAATTTCGCCGGACTCCATCTGTTCCGCGCCTCCCATTGCCGGAGATGGCCCTTCAACTACCGGAAAATCTACCGGAGGAGCACCGGGGGAAGATCTGACTGCCATTGTTGATCTGCTGAAGACAAATGTTGTCACAAAGGTAAGAAAAGAGAAGATGAATTAGCGAAACGAAAATGTTTCCTCAGAATTTCTCTCTCAGATGAACAATGAAGATATGAGAAATGAATGCCTCAACCCACCTTTATAGGCAACATAAATGGCTTTTGCGAAGCCCAATAGCCATCATTAACTGCACGACCAACCGTAAAACGGTTCGATTCTGTCGTAGCAATTGTCATTATGACGAGTTCCGCAAAACGGCTTCTCAGCCATCCGCCAGCATACCGCCGTCAGAACAATCGCCACTACCTGCGAACACTGAAAGAATGAGCCGTACGCCGTTAAAATTTTGGACTTGACCAAATACGTACCCGGCGCGTACTCATTCCCAACGGCCATCCTCAGTATATGAAAGGCTACGGCCATCATCAGTATATGAAAGACTACGGCCATCCTCAGTATATGAAAGGCTACGACCATCCTCAGTATATGAAAGGCTACGACCATCTTCAATGTATGAAATCTACGGCCATCTCCAACATATGAAAGGCTACGGCCATCCTCAATATATGAAAGGCTACGGCCAACCTTAACATATGAAAGGCTACGGCCATCTTTAATGTACGAAAGGCTACGACCATCTCCAACGTGTAAACGACTAAGGCCGCCGCCGCCAATAAGTCGACCCCCTTATTCGAGTTGTTTTCAAATCACAATCGATGAAGTCCGCTCATCGAGCTCGGCCGAAACACGACCCCGATAAGCGGAGGGACTAACTGTATGGGTCAGAATTCGACCCCACGATAATTAGCGAGGCTAATCCCGTTAATAGTTAATTCACGATTAATTAGTGGCACGACCACTCAGAATTGACGACGCTCAACCCGTCCCTGGCTCGGTCAACAAAGGCCCCGGCCTATCCACCACTAGAAAGGCGAGACCTCAACGTGGTCACGACCACTGAGGGACAGCTCACGAAGCCCACAGCTATAAATACCAAGAGAAGGGACCCCAGAAAGGGGGGGCTTCTTGACTACTAGTGAGAGGAGAGAGAAACAAGAAAATATACCCCTCTTATGGGAAGAGGAAACACCATTGTAAGGCTCTGAACCTCTTCATGGAGAGGCAGACCAAACAAATATTATCAATAAAGGTTTCCAATGCTTCTCCCCCTAATTCTGAGTTCTTGTTTTCATTTCATTCAATTGGTCCAACGGATTACTACGATTTGCTATGATTATCCCGGGATTTATTTATATTGTTTTGTACTCGTAAGATGTGTAATATTTTTTGAGCAAACAGTATTAAACTTTAAAAGTAATGACTTTAGTATGCCATCGTAGAGAGCAAGGAAAATTTTCTGCCACGTTTTTTTATTCTATTTTGTGATTTTATCATAAAGATAGGGGTGCTTGAAATTTTGAGTAGTTACTTTTATTGTACTTTTCTCAACACTTATCGAATTAAGACCATGATAAGAAATCCGAATATATTTTTGAGTAACATTAATAAAAACTGCATGGCGATATAAGAATACTAAATCTCAATAAATAAATCTAGAGAAAAAGAATAATGAAAGAATATTACATTATTTCAATTATAGAAGGAACACAAAAGAGAACGAAAACTTAATTGCTAATTGCACGTAATACATAAAAGTATAAATTAAAATCTTAGTGTAAAAATATAAAAGAATAATACATAATTGAATTAGAGATAAAAAACTAAATTTAAGGTGAGAAAGAATATATTATGGATAAGATAATTGAAATCTTAATATATATATATAATATAAATTATATATTATATATATATATATATAGTAATATATAATACTGACAATTAAAAGAATTCAGAACAGAAGATTAAAAGTATCAAATTTTAATTACATTTTCATGTGGGTAATTTCAATAATTAAAATTAAAACACTAACTTTTATGTTTGGAAACAAAAGCAAAAGAGGAGGAAAATTTAATTGCTTATTACATATAATACCAAAAATTGATTATTAAAAATGCTGGTTGATTTTGTGAAAACTGATAAAAGTTTATGTTGGTTGATTTTATTAAAGAATAATAAAAGAAATTTCAAATTTTATATAGTCTGGACGAATTCAAAATTACAATTTAAAAAGAAAAAAGAATACAGCATTATTTGGATTTGAGGTAAATCACATAAAAAACCCAAATCAATAGAATAAAACTGTAAAAATAAATAAAATTTTAGGAGTAAGAAAAATTAATATTTATCACATGATCTAATTTGCTCTGGTAAGTGCTTAATATTCTTTAATATAGTGCATGCATCGCATTGCGATTAAGCCAATTGGCAAGCTAATAAAAAGCGAGTTGACAGTTTAATACTCTCTCTCTCTCTCATATATATATATATATATATATATATATATATATATATAGAGCCAAGTGGCAAGCTAATTAAAAGCTACTTGGTAATTTTAAGACAATTAAACTATGTAATAAAAATAGATTTAAATTGAAGGATAAATTTTTTAATCTATAGATAAAGTAATTTTAAATTTGATTGAAGTATAAAAATATTATTTTGAATTGTAATATAATCAATTTTATTTATTGTATGTACAAAAATATAGATTTATAAAATTTAACTATATTGATTTGATTTATATATGTGCCAGATGTAACTATATAAAAAGCACAAATAAAATTCAATTAAGTAAGAATATAATATCAGTATTTACAATCCAAGATCCAATTGAAAACTATCAGATTTCATCAAATAAATAATACTTTTTTAGTGTAATAAAAAATAGCATATAAATTAGACCTATTTTCATAAGAAACGAAAAAGATTTATCTGTACATGGATAAGTTTGATCTCCAATTTTCAGTTGCTCCTTATTAAATTATCTTTTTGAATGATTATCTAGATAAATATATCATTGTATGATAAGGATAAATTGGATCTTAGAATCTTATATTTCAAATTAAACTTGCATGAAAATGTAATAATATTAATTGCTGAAGAATATTGTAATAACAATAAACAAGGAACAAAAATAGGATTTTTTTTAAAAAAAAATACAAAATCAGCTTAAAAATAAACTATAATACTTATTTGAATTTGAGATGAGAATATTTTTTTATTGAGAAAATTTTTTATTAAGGAATTCCAAGCAACTCACAAAAATTTTAGAAATATAATAAATTTCTCATATAGGCCATTTTAATCATAATTAAAATTATTACTAAAATATTATGTCAGAAATAACGTAGAGAAAACGTTTAATTTCTAATTGTACAAACTAATACAATAACAACAACAATAATAATCCAGTCCAATCCCACAGGTGGGGTCTAGGAGAAAGAGAGGGGGGGGGGGGGGATTATATGTACACAGACCCTAGGAAGGTAGAGAGGCTATTTCAAAAGACCCTCGGCTCGAGAGGAGAACTAATACAATAATAATTATTAAAAATAATGCTAAAACAAATTCATGAAAGGCTTCACTTCCCTAGAAAAAAATACTGGAAGGAAGAAAAGGATAAATAAAAATTGAAAAAAATAAACGTCATTTCAAATTAATAATGTGAACAAATAATGTAATAGTTTACTAAATAAGACATGATTTTCGCTAAGTATATATGTAACTGTAAAATATAGTATATAATGACGCATGTTAATCATTATAAGACTAAGATTTATTATAGATCGAGTTATTGAAGTTAGTATTTTAGTAGAAAATATGTTGGACAATAATGTTTGGGTCCATCTGAGTTAAAATACCTTTTAAATTTAAGTGAAGATAATTTTTTATTGTATTTTATTATTGTTATTATTATTATTATTATTATTATTATTATAGATCAAAATGAATTATTATTTCATATGAGACTATTTTTAAATTAAATAAATATGTGTTCCACCACTTTATGATCTTCATCGCGAGTTATAAGTATGATGGGATGAACAAATAACAAATGAAGTTAACAAAATATTAAATGAAGGATTTCTTTGATTTATTTAATTATATGTATTCTCATTTGTTTTAAATCATGTTACATTATTAGGTTATTTGCCGCATAACCTATATAGTTATGATATTTGACTATCATCCAAAAGTTATTCGATGTTTATATGAGCCCTTTAATATAATTACACAGAACTTTTATTATTGGGCAGACAAAGAGGATAATAATAATGTTTTTAAACCGTATGATCTAACGCGCTCAAATAAATTGATATAAGTAATATTCCTTAATAATATCCGCACATCCTGTGGATACTAATACTAGTTGACAATATAGGGAAAGTAAATATAATACTTTAAGTTTTCTGATATTATTAATGGCAAAATTGAAAATTCCTTTTTGTATTTGCCGCTCATTTGGAAAGCTTAGCCATGAAATTGTAGTAATGGTGGAGAAGAGAAGAGATAGACCGTTGGAGAAAGACTCGCATCATTCTTCCCATAGGCTCCTCCTTCTTCTTCTTCTGGCTGCGCCTCCTCCTTAATTACAATCAGAATTGAGTTTCTGAAATTGGAGAGAATGAGCAGTTCAACGGGTACGCCTAAATTTAGTCGGAGCCGGTCGCGATTAGGGAAATACGAATTGGGTAAGACCTTAGGAGAGGGCAGTTTTGCAAAGGTCAAGTATGCCAAGAATGTACAGACAGGCGATAGTGTCGCCATTAAAATCATTGACCGCGATCGCGTTCTCCGCAACAACATTATGGAACAGGTACCCAATTCTTTGTTTCTCTTCAACCTGCATGCATAATTTGCTCTTCACATCATGTTATTTCCTATGGGCGGCTATGGCTATGGGGTTATCTTTCGGAAGGGGAGCCTTGGCTAACTGGTAAAGTTGGTATCATGTGACCTGGTTCGAGCCGTACAAAGCAGAAATGTACCGTAAGGCCGCGTATGATAGACCCTTGTGGTCCGGCTCTCCCCGGACCCAGCACATAGCGGGAGCTTGCTGCGCCGGGCTGCCCTTTTATGGGGGTTGTCTTTCGATGTAAACTTTTCGGTCTTATCTTAGCAATCATGCCTTGAAAAGGAACAAAGAATCTGGCATGCATTGGATAGTATACTCACAGTTTGCATCAAAAAGTTCTGGAAGAAGAAAAATGTCTAGCCACTTAATTTAAATGACACAGTAACCACTAAAACATGAAATCTATATATATACAAAGTTGGAATATAATAGGCCGTCTGTACATTTCAGAATACATAGCAAGCGAGCCAAGATGCAAACTGTGCGTATACCATCCTGAAATGTTAAATATCACGACTTCCAAAAGTCTTTCTTTCTTTTCTATGATCCGTAACAGTCAAACAAGCGAGTCAGGACGCAAAACTGTGCGTATTGATGAATGCATGAAGACAAATGTCTCATGCCTGAATCTTTTTGACAGTTCTACCTCCTATGCTCAAGTTGGTATAGCCAAAGCAAATAAAGGGGAAAAGCAGATATATAAAGCTCACAGAACATATATGAGATGTCTTGGTACTCATTAGCAGATTTGACTTCGCAAAAGAAAGAAAAAGAAGGTGGAAAGGTTAATATTGGTGGCGCTCCTAAATGTCTCTTAGAAGTGGAGAAGGGAGCTTTCCCTCCTTTGATGTACATGTGAATGTGATAGCATATCTCTGTGAGGAATTGTGCAGTTCTTTGCTGATGCAATTTATGGAGGAGCTTGAAAGCACAAGAGGGGAGGGGTCAATTCTGGCCTTTTTTATATTTAGTCTGACTATTATATGAAATAGTCATCTAAGCAATGTAAAAAGCAGAAGTAAGAACAGGAAAGCACGTAGTGCAGAAAAATAAAGTGACACACGATGTTTTTATACTGGTTCGGTCCACCAATGTGGTGCATAATCCAATCCCCTTAGGTTGCAAGGGTATTATCTCTTAGAGCTCTTTTAGTTTGGTTTGAACAGCGAGTGGTTTTTTCACATTCACCACCAATGTTTAGAGAAGTACATAGCACATGAAGAATAAGGGAGAAAGACTTTTGAGTGAAAGCTGAGCGCATATTTCTTCTAATGTGTCCTTGAATATATAGTGAGGGTCTCGAGACTAGCCGATGTGAACCTCCTTTGAATCTGGGGTAGTTATTCCTTGAAACCTTTCTTGAAATCTAGACTGATCTTGTGTAATCTTCTAGACTTGACTATTTTTCCAAGTATTTCTGAGAGCTCTTTTGTTTTGTTAGAGATAATGACGGCAGGATATTTTGATCCTTATGTTGTGTACGATTCCGGCCATCCTTTTGATGTCTTGAGTTGCCTTGAATCTGGACATCTTCTGCCTTGATACTTATTTCCTTCTGCAAACTTCATGTTCTTGTTTCCTTCCTTGTAGATCTTTCTTGGTTCATCTTTCCCTATGAATTTGTAGCTCCAGATATGACTCAATCTCCACTTGTCAGCCTTCAAAAAGACAAATCAAAGTTTGTGATATTTTTTTTTGACAATGTAACATGTATATTTGTATTAATCAATCTTCAGCACAAAGGTTGTGCTGGAAGCCAAAAGAAAGAGTTTACAAAAGCCTATAAAGCTCCCTATTACAATCCTTGCATTTCTTACAAGGAATCTAGGACTTGCAAAATCAACTCTAAGTCGTCACTATATTCTGCTTTACACCAAAAACAAAAAAGAAGAATACAATTCATGTTAATTTTCTGAATAGAGCTAATTGTATCCTCGAAGCATCTTGAGTTCCTCTCCTTCCATATTGTCCACCAAATAGTTGCAGGGACAATTTTCCATCTGTCTTTGTTTGAAGCATTACACTTCCCCCCTGCATTCCATCTTGACAAGAGTTCGGATGTTCTTCCTGGCATTGACCATCTAATGCCCCTGAGATTGATGAATAAATCCCACAACTGACTAGTCACTCTACAATGAAGAAACAGATGGCTGATTGTCTCTACCTCTTGGCCACATAAGTAACACTTCGAGCAAATTGGTATTCCCCTTCTCCTGAGATTGTCATGAGTTAAAACAGCTTCTCTAACTACCAGCCAAGAAAAACATGCCACTTTGTATGGTGTCTTGACCCTCCAGATGTGTTTCCAAGGCCATAGATTGACTTGACCACCATCTTGGTTTAGATACTTGTAGGCTGAGCTGACTGTGTACACCCCACTGCTGTTTTGGCTCCAGCTAAGTGTATCTTCTCCCTCTTGCAGTCCGTTGCATAGCTCCAGGGTGTTAAAAAAGTCTGTTATTCTGGGCAACTCCCAATCATGTAAAGGTCTTCTGAAAGTGAGATTCCATGCATGTGCCCCCCGAAGTTCATATACTGTACCTCTATATTGTTGATTCAGGGCATAAATGTCTGGAAAAAGATTCATAAGACAACCAATTCCTAACCAGTTATCTTCCCAAAAAAGAGTTTTCCTACCATCCCTTACTTTGAATTGAAGCTTGTCAGCAAAATTTGGCCACAGGTTCCTTGTAGTTTTCCACAAGCTGGTACCATAAGCAATGTTTACCTGCTTAGTCATAAAGTTTGTGATATTCATTTCTGATTGTCATCATTAAAAGAGGATCTTATGCTAACAAAGCTTGCCTTTATGCTCCTTCGAAACTATAGCAAGGTTCTCCTGAATAGGTCCTCAATAGTTGTGCCTCTGATGGTAAACCTTCTTGGATTAAGTAGTGGCTAAGCGCTCATTCCTCCTACTGATGGATTGTCTATTGATATCAGGGGATTGAGGTTGATTTAGTGGCGAGTGTGGTGCCTTTTCCATGTGAAATTAATGCAGATGAGGGGCTAACATTGTGTCTTCATGTCACTTAAGTCAAAACTTGGCGGAACTCCTACAAGGGTGAGAACTAAGAATATCTTCTATCGTCGCTTATAAAAAAGGAAGAAGAGTATCTACTGTTATTACTCTTGCAATTTCTCTACACTTGACATTCACAGGCGATCGTGTCATAAAATCAGGAAAATATCATCAGTATCTAAATGCAAGCCTTTTTCCAAGTAACAAGTGTCAGAGGGACGAAGCGATTCCTCAACTTAGGATTGATGGATTGTATTAGAAGGCAACACAGTTTAACATCAACATTTTCCTACTCTTCTCAACTCTTCACTAATGTCTATTGTTTTCTTGGTTTAGGTGACCATGAAAACCTTGCCCTTTTTATACGAGCTAAAATGCGTGAAAGCAAGAGATTGGTAAACAATCAAATAACAAGATAAGACAACAAGGATAGATCTGGAAATACAAAAGGAGGGGGAAGAGACTTAGAAGAAAGAAAAGATAATCTAGCAATTAAACTAACATTTAATTACTAGAATCAGTCCAAAGAGTAAAGAGATATGAACTCATACAATGGATAATTACACATGGATCTATCCAAGAGAGGTTCAAACAATTCCCAAAACCTTACCGAACAAGGTAATTCTTCTATCATCCATAAATCTAGATTAGATGAAAATGACCTCATCCTAATCTATTTATACTAGGTCTAAATAAAGTAAGGGAAGACATAAATACCCCTTTATGGGCCTAATTAGTAATTACTATGCCCAAAAGGGAAAGCTTGTAGCCCTAGTATCTAATCATAGGCAAGCATGGCGTAGGTCTTGTGTCCAGCTCATCAAGGCGGATCACGTGTGCGGTGGTTGCTGCCGCGGATGAAGGTTCGTGGCCACGAACCAGGTGATATTCTGTTGGTACAGGCTTGTCAGGTGTGGTTTGCTTTGTGGGCGCGGAGAGAAGCTTCTTAGCTTGATTCGCGGGTCAAGTGGTGATTCGTGGCCATGGATCTTCTCAGCTGATTATGGCCCTCTTTTTGGATGGTTCGCGCCCACGGATGCAACATGGTGAAGCGCGGCTTTATCTTCAGCTTCCATGCTCCACTAAAACACTCCATCATCATGATGTCTACATGCATGCCTCCATTGTCAATAGTACTAGTCTGGATCGTATCACCTTTACACCATAATTCAACAGATGAAAATCAAGATAAATGATTTTTCTCACTGATGAAGAGTCAATTGAGGTCAATGATGAATAAAATGAAGTGGAGAAGTACCCTTGGGACATGAGAGAAAACCGAATAAGGAAAAATCAATGGAACTTGTTGGAACGATAACTAAAGCTTCAGGTACAGGAGGTCGGAAGTACAGCAAGGAAAAAATGCTCTCGGGCACATTCCCCAAGGATGCTCTCTTTCCTACTTTCCAGGATTGTAGAATTTCTCTTTCCGGTGTACCTTCTCATCGGAATCTTCCGTTTCTTTCTTAAAATCCAGGGTTCACCTACTGTGATCACTGATCAAAATTCTTTTTGTTAGTAAAAGTTCTTTGCTCAGCCAGTCTAACGTGAAAATCCTACAATGAGAGAGAACAACATCATCTATTTTGCAGTGGGCTTCAAGTCATATGAAATTGTGAGATGCTCAACAAATGCTGAAGAATGGTATGAATGGACAGAACGAGGAAGGAACCTAATCAGAAGAACTACATTCAGCAGGAAGACGATGGTGTGGTTGTGCGAAAATTTAAAGGAAACATCGAAGATGAAGGGAAACTATGTGAAAAGATGGAAAACCAAGGATCATTACTCAGAAATATTCTGTGCGAGGAACTACAACAAACATGGTCGTTATATAACCATCATTAGGGTCCAAGGCAGGGGGAGGTCAGTTATTATTGTTCCAGATATGGCATTCAATTCAGGATGGTTAGATATTGCAGCAAAAATAGAAAGGTTC